TTTTTTTCACATTGTGTACAAACTGATTTTGTATTCAAGAAATTTTTTTGAGGAGCGGCTTGATGCTGATCTCGAATCGAGGTTTGTCATTTTGCTGCAGGCAGCGCTTGACTGTTTGGGAACAATATGCGAGATGTTAACCTTCGCACAACTCCGGCCGTTGCTGCAGGAAATATTGCTTTACATCAAGGTTGGTACAATATATTCTCGTTAAAAAGTCTCAAACTCTTTTTATAGGTAACATTCGAAGTTTGCCCCGATGGAGGCACTAGTTTGCTTCATCAACTTTTCAAAGTTGTTTTTGGCAAAAATACAGCGAATATTAATTTGGATATGTTGCATTCTATGAGGATGAAGGATCCGATTCCGCCACTAAGTCAGCATTATACAGGATTAATTAGCATCTTGTTAAGAGCTGCACTGGTCAAAAATTCAGCTGAAACATCAACGAAACCTTTTGAGATGAAGCTGAGATGTTGTATCTTCGCTGTGCGAATGAGTTCACTCTGTTCTCTGCATTCATTGGTCGAAAAGAGTACATTGACACCTTCATACTCAGGTATGCTTGTTCTCGTTAATGTATATATTTCGACACTTGCATTCCAGAAATATTGGATGGCTGAAAAGCGATATGCTTTCGAAGGTGCATAATCCGCCTCCAAATGAGATAACGCCAGCACTGGAATTGTTTGAAGGATTCGTAACTGTGTTGCTGCAAGTCTACGGAGCTTTTCAGTCCATTCCTTGCAAGCGCGCAGTAAGTCTATCAGAATCTTGCTGAAGTTTTCTAATATCTCTTTGCTTTAATTCTGCTAATTTGAGATTTCTGTATCATTCAGATTCTTGGAGTTATGTGTGAATTGCCTCGTGATGGCATTATCTATGCCATGGCTGATCCAAAGAAAGCATTGTTCGAGGCTGTAACAACTCAGCTTTGCGATCCAGGTAGTGGGAATAAAGAGCTGCTAACAGAGGTGAGTCTGCATTTGGAAAAGTATGGATTGAATTTATTAATATCCTTTTTTTGTGAATTTTTCATTTTCCTTGACTATTTTGCGAGGACATTCTATAATGTAGGGTATGAGGTATCAAGTTGAGCTTGTGAAAGCGGAGTAGATTCCGTTAGTCGCTTTTTCAATGCTTTGAGTCGCCTTAGTTGTCATAAAAAGAGGAAAACGAGCTATGCTGCGATTAGACCTCACACATGAGGATTGATGTTTCTTTCTCAGATCGCCTTGTATCTGATCGTGCTAGCAAGAACGACAGTAATAAAGTATGACCAAGTCTGCAGAGTTGCCGTCGATCTTATGGAGCGAGCAGTCAAGACCAATGTCTGTGAAGGTGAAGAATTCCGGAGCAAGTGCAGCTCATATCGTTTTGTTTGATAACTCATGACATTTAGTGCTATCTGCTGTCGAGGTGATACTTTTGGAGATATTATTTGTGCAACGT